GAGTGTGAGTGTGTGTGAGTGTGAGTGTGTGTGTGTGTGTGTGAGTGTGTGTGAGTGTGTGTGTGTGTGTGAGTGTGTGTGTTTGTGTGTGTGTGTGTGAGAGAGAGAGAGTCACGCCAGCCACAGGTCAGCGTAACCTTTAAGTTTTCTAGTTCTTCTAGTTCTTCTATTTCACTGGAGAAATGTTCTCCTCTGTGGATGTATTGGTCATCGTCAGAATTGACAGACGAGGTATTGTTATTCTGTGAAGGATGTGTGTGTGTGTGTGTATGTGTGTGTGTGTTGAAGAAAGCACCAAAGCCTCATAGTATAGAGGGAAAAGAACTGTGTATTTGTTCTTCACTTCATGAAAACTTTAGCTCTCTGGTGGTGGAACAGTTGAACAGCTTGCTGGGAACATGAACTTCTTGTCTGCAGATCATGATTTTGTCTTATTTATGGGAGAAATGCTCTGATAAATGGGTGGTTTGTGAGCTTTTGTCGTATTGGTTAATGTTTTTGTTTTAATTTGTGGGCGTTTGGCAGGTGCTCTGGTGTGGTTTGCTCCTTCTCTATCCAACATTTGTCATCTTTGTCTTTCCTCCTTTTGTCTATGTGCTACTCTCTACTGACAGCTGTCGTCTTGGGCATTGATTTCAGCTGTTTGTGTTGCAAGTGTCGTGAAGCTATTCTTGAATCCACACTGTCTTCCTTCCCCGCAGGAACGGCCGATGGCGGGGCCAGTGGTCCGTGACCTTCCCAGAGTCGGGCGGGTCTGCCGAGGTCACCGGTGTTCTAAGAGTGCAGGTGAGACTTTGTAAACGGGGATGGCTGACTGGTAGAACGACAGTGCTTTGGTGCACTAGCCAGTGGGTCATTGGTAGAACGACAGTGCTTTGGTGCACTAGTCAGTGGGTCATTGGTAGAACGACAGTGCTTTGGTGCACTAGTCAATGGACATGAAGACTTCGTGTTTCTTGCCCGCCCAGAAGGCTGGGAGAGTGAAAGTTTTTATTTTTAAAGTGTGTGAACACAGAAATGATCAAATCAGAGCTCTCCAATTTTTTTTTCCTGCTAAAAAAGCTCCTGTCAGACTTGCATTAAACCTGGTTTTTATTCTTTCTTGAGTTTGATTTTCCTCAGGACATATGACACATATTTATTGTAAATGACTTGAAAATACTCATCTTCTACGCGTGGTCACGCTATAATCAAATTGATGCGGTCAGTTATGTAGTTTCTACCCATGATTGGTGGCGGTCATTGTTAACAAATAATGGTACCTCGGAAAAGGACTTTCACCTGTCTCAGCTGCAAAGAACACTGTTCTCCGGTACATCGTGTCTGTAGGAAGGAGTAACGCTGAGAGGCTATTTGTTCACTCTCTACAGCGTTTTTGAGATGTGGCTGGGGTACATTCGACACTCTCATGAACGGGCTACGATAGTTGGAGGGTGCCACTGGTTGGTCCTACTTCTTTACTCTCTTTCTATTGCTGTCTTCTTTGTGTGAGAGATGTAACCATTTCACCATTGCCACCTTCTTTCCCGTACAGTGACAGAGTGAGAGCTGTAACTCTCCGGAAATTGAAGATGAATTTCACTTTATTTTCTATTGTTCACACTTTGTCCATCAAAGGAAATTGTTAATCCCTCCCAGCCTGACTCGGCCCAGTGACAGAAATATGCAATGTTTGACCCATGATGAGAGATATGTGCACAACCTGTACTGTTTCATTATGGAAACTTTACTCATCAAATGAGTGTTTTGTGTGATGTGATGTGGGTCAATAGCCTTAAACACTGAAGTAACTTACTTACAGTTAGTTGTGAAATTGCCAGTTGTAATGACTCGTTGAAACTCGTGATTACAACTTGGCAATTTCACTCGTAGGATAAATCATGGTCTAACGCCACAACTCATGTAATAAATTATTTATCTCCCCTTCTTCTTTTTTGTGTTTGTTATTCTCTTGTGACACCTCTAAACTTGGACACTTATATGACTTTATTGTGTTTGTTACTCTCTTGTGACACCTCTAAACTTGGACACTTATATGACTTTATTGTGTTTGTTACTCTCTTGTAACACATCTTGGACACTTATATGACTTTATTGTGTTTGTTACTCTCTTGTAACACATCTTGGACACTTATGTGACTTTATTGTGTTGCAAGTGCCGCAAAACACTTGAAGACTGCAGAAGGAAAACGACAAGTCAGAAACGAGAAATTGTGAGGGAGTCAATGATTAAGAGATTGTGGACTCCTACCTTCCTATTTGTTTGACTGGTGGTTTATTGTTCAGTGTTGTTGGATGGGAAATCTAACCACAATAATTAACCAACATTTGAACAGAAATACAGAATTTATGTGTCAACAAGCGTTCAAAAATTGGTACCCTCACGACTTTCAGTTTGTGACTAGATCTAGTCGTTTATCCCCAGCTTAGTGTGGTCAGTAATGTGTTGTTGGTTCCTTCACTCTGTGGTGTCAGGTACATTACTATGTTCCTTCTGTGGTGTCAGGTACATTACTATGTTCCTTCTGTGGTGTCAGGTACATTACTATGTTCCTTCTGTAGTGTCAGGTACATAACTATGTTCCTTCTGTAGTGTCAGGTACATAACTATGTTCCTTCTGTGGTGTCAGGTACATTACTATGTTCCTTCTGTACTTTCAGGTACATTACTATGTTCCTTCTGTGGTGTCAGGTACATTACTATGTTCCTTCTGTAGTGTCAGGTACATTACTATGTTCCTTCTGTAGTGTCAGGTACATTACTATGTTCCTTCTGTGGTGTCAGGTACATTACTATGTTCCTTCTGTACTTTCAGGTACATTACTATGTTCCTTCTGTAGTGTCAGGTACATTACTATGTTCCTTCTGTAGTGTCAGGTACATTACTATGTTCCTTCTGTGGTGTCAGGTACATTACTATGTTCCTTCTGTAGTGTCAGGTACATTACTATGTTCCTTCTGTGGTGTCAGGTACATTACTATGTTCCTTCTGTACTTTCAGGTACATTACTATGTTCCTTCTGTAGTGTCAGGTACATTACTATGTTCCTTCTGTGGTGTCAGGTACATTACTATGTTCCTTCTGTACTTTCAGGTACATTACTATGAAGATGGAAATGTTCAATTAGTCAGCTCAAAGGAAGTGAAACAAAATATAAAAGTTCAGGTGAGTGTGAATACTATTGGTGCCATGGACTACTTTTCTTTGTTAGATCTTTGACTGGTGAATGTGAGATCTTTGACTGGTGGATGTCAGATCGTTGACTGGTAAATGTGAGATCTTTGACTGGTGAATGTGAGATCTTTGACTGGTGGATGTCAGATCTTTGACTGGTAAATGTGAGATCTTTGACTGGTGAATGTGAGATCTTTGACTGGTGGATGTCAGATCTTTGACTGGTAAATGTGAGATCTTTGACTGGTGAATGTGAGATCTTTGACTGGTGGATGTCAGATCGTTGACTGGTAAATGTGAGATCTTTGACTGGTGAATGTGAGATCTTTGACTGGTGGATGTCAGATCTTTGACTGGTAAATGTGAGATCTTAGACTGGTGAATGTGAGATCTTTGACTGGTGGATGTCAGATCTTTGACTGGTAAATGTGAGATCTTTGACTGGTGAATGTGAGATCTTTGACTGGTGGATGTGAGATCTTTGACTGGTGAATGTCAGATCTTTGACTGGTAAATGTGAGATCTTTGACTGGGAATGTGACATCTTTGACTGGTGAATGTCAGATCTTTGACTGGTGAATGTGAGATCTTTGATCTTTGACTGGTGAATGTCAGATCTTTGACTGGGAATGTCACATCTTTGACTGGTGAATGTGAGATCTTTGACTGGGAATGTCACATCTTTGACTGGTGAATGTCAGATCTTTGACTGGGAATGTGACGTCTTTGACTGGTGAATGTCAGATCTTTGACTGGTGAATGTCAGATCTTTGATCTTTGACTGGTGAATGTTAGATCAGTTAGATCTTTGACTGGTGAATGTTAGATCTTTGACTGGTGAATGTGAGATCTTTGACTGGTGAATGTGAGATCTTTGACTGGTGAATGTTTGTTAGATCTTTGACTGGTGAATGTGAGATCGTTGACTGGTGAATGTTTGTTAGATCTTTGACTGGTGAATGTTAGATCTTTGACTGGTGAATGTTAGATCTCTGACTGGGAATGTGACATCTTTGACTGGTGAATGTGACATCTCTGACTGGGAATGTGACATCTCTGACTGGTGAATGTGACATCTCTGACTGGGAATGTGACATCTTTGACTGGTAATGTGAGATCTCTGACTGGGAATGTGAGATCTCTGACTGGTGAATTTTTGACTGGTGAATGTGAGATCTCTGACTGGGAATGTGAGATCTCTGTCTGGTGAATGCGAGATCTCTGACTGGGAATGTGAGATCTCTGACTGGGATCTCTGACTGGGAATGTGACACTAGCAGTTGCTTAGGCCCAGAACGTCAGACAGATAGTTAGAAGTTCATTGGGGCTGACGTCAGTGAGGTTACACAACATGCAGGGCTAAACACGACAGAGAGATTGAGAGAGAATGTTTATGGAGGGGAGGTGTGTCGCCACCTATTGTTTTTGTCGTTTCTTGGGGGTGTTTTTGTGTTTTTAACTCGCTTGTAACTACTCTAACCATCGGCACTTATATGATTTAATCGTGTTGCGAATGCCGTAAAACGCTTTCTAAAGCGAAAAAAAAATCTTTGCTCAAGCTCAGTCTATTTATGAGTCCACTTACCATTAACGAGAACACTCACCATTGAGAACACTCACCATTAACGAGAACTCTCACCATTAATGAGAATAACGAGAACACTCACCATGAACGAGAACACTCACCATTAACGAGAACACTCACCATGAACGAGAACTCTCACCATTAACGAGAACTCTCACCATTAACGAGAATAACGAGAACACTCACCATTAACGAGAACTCTCACCATTAACGAGAATAACGAGAACACTCACCATTAACGAGAATAACGAGAACACTCACCATTAACGAGAACACTCACCATTAACGAGAACTCTCACCATTAACGAGAATAACGAGAACACTCACCATTAACGAGAATAACGAGAACACTCACCATTAACGAGAACACTCACCATTAACGAGAACTCTCACCATTAACGAGAACACTCACTATTAACGAGAACTCTCACCATTAACGAGAATAACGAGAACTCTCACCATTAATGAGAATAACGAGAACTCTCACCATGAACGAGAACTCTCA